TATCATCTAAATAGTTACACAATATTCTTAGCAAGTATTCGTTAAGTCCCAATTTTAATATTTTATATTTTAAGCCTAAATGCCAAACTTTATCAAAAGCCTTAGAAACGTCCCATAAAATTATATTGATCTGGTTCCCCTTGCTTTTTTCTATTGCAATTATTTCCGTTATTGTAGCTATTGCAGTTAGGGTATTTCTATTGGGCATTAATCCATGTTATCTATTGTTAGTTTTCCCATGTAGTGTTAAAAAGGTTATAAGTCTTGAATTAAAATTTTTTTCCAGTAGTTTCCCGGTAATTTCTAATAAAGATATTGGCCTGTAGTTTAATATTTCCTTATTGTCCTTACCCTCCTTGGGAATAAATGTCATTTTAGCATATTTTAGTTTGTCTGGAAAGTAACCGGTTATTAAGCACGCGTTATAAATGTTTAATAGTGTTTTTAAGATGTTTTCAGGTAGATTCATGATCATATTTCGCGTAATACCTGTGAGCCCGGGGGCTTTTTCCTTAAACTTCCTCAGAGAGTGCATCATTTCTCCCATGGTTATTATTTGATTATTAGGTAATAAGTTATAGTCTATATATTGCTTTGGGGGTAATTCTATGTATGTGTCTTCCCATTTCGTCTTCTATCCTTTCTTCGTGTTCACTATCAAAATCTTCATTTTCCTCATCTGATATTTTAAAAACTTTTACCCATTCCCTTTTGAATGCTGACTCTTGTTCATTTTCCTCGTGCAGTTTTGTTCCATTTTGGTCTTTAATGTATGGTGTTTTTTGCTTGTTGTGCCCCATCATCTTGTTTATGGAAGTCCAAAATGTTTTTGTGTCTTTAGTCATGTCAGCCGCCATTATAATATCATTCCATTTTTTATTATTTGCTTCCTTACATGCGTCTCTTAATTTTATCTGTAGTGCTGTCTGCGTCGTATATAGCCATCTGTTACTGCCGTGTCTTTCCATATACCTGTTTATTTCATTGTAATGGGTTTGGATTAATTTAACTTCTTCTGGTAGTCTGTTGTTGGGTAATGTTCTAAAGTGTGAAGTAGGAGTGTGTTTGGTTAAAGACGTTTTTATTGCTGAGTGCAGTCTGTCCATTTCTAAGTCTATGTCTTCTGTTGTTTTCCCTTGTAGTTTAATCGAGTGGTGATTACTTAAGTCGTCTTTGAAGCTGTCCCAGTCTGTTTTACTCATTTTTAGCCTCTTTTTTATTGGTATCTGTATGGGGCTTGTTGACAGTGTTAGTATAATTGGCAGATGGTCACTGCCTGTGAGAGGTCCTTGTTTTACATGGTAATTGAAAAAGGCTTTGTTGTTGGTAAAAATTTTGTCTGGTGTCGATTGTGTATTGTGATTTCTCCAGGTTGGAAAGTTAGGACCCAGATGATTGATTTTCCCTAGGTTTATTAATTGATTAAGGGCGTTTCCCACGACGTTATTATTTGTATTGTCAAAAATCCTATGTCTGGCGTTAAAGTCTCCTAAGATGTACATCGGATGACTATTGTTAGCCAATTTTAATAGGTCTTCTATAGGTAAGTAGGGTCGTCTCGGTGGCAGATAAGTAGTAGCAATAATTACGTCTCCTTGAGTTGTATTTATTTGTATTGCTAGAAATTCATCCTGGAAGTCATCAATTAGTTTAAATTTTAAGTTTCTTTTAATCGCTATAGCTACTCCGTCATTTTTCTCGCCCGATTTATTTCTTTGGTTTACATAATAGTTAAAGAGTTTAATGTTGTTGTTTTCTGTCTCACCGTGACTGTTTATTAGTATAATGTCAGGGTCCATTTCTTGATATATATTACTTAGGTTAATTCTCTCGGTCTTCCAGTTTCTTACGTTGTGTTGTATTATTCTTAAAGTTCTTACTGTTTGTCTATTGTCCATTATTTCTTATACTTGGATTGTGGCAGTTGGAGTGGAGACCTATCGTCCTGTTTCCCGCTTCTGACTCTTCTAAACTCTGACGGATCTACTATTTTAAAGTCATTGGTCAATATACAGTACATAACCTATTAACCTCTTAAATATAACTCGCATGTTAAAACTGTTGATACATCAAGAGACAATTTGTATAATATAATCAATAGACAGTACATAATATACTTATTAAAGTTATTTAGTGCTTTTTAGAGGATTTAATAGTTCACAATCACACTCACGTTTTAAGGTCTACCTGTAGGGTTTGACCAAAGAGAACAAATATAATATCCTCTTGGTATATGTTGGTCGAACGAAAGATGTTGTGTCTACGGTAGGAGCAAAATTCGTTATCAACACTATGTCTCTCCTCTCACCCTCTTTCTCTCTTGTCTAGTTTATCTTACTGTGGCTATCCCTCTCTTTTTCTCTCTCTTCTAGTTTATCTTACTGTGGCAGTAACAGTTACTCACAAGTTCTAATAAGTTACTTTTGAGTTGGAAGGGTCTATATACAGTCTTAGAGAAAGTAGGGTATCTTGATTATCGGATCATGTTTAATGATGTTAGATCTAAAGTCTTCCACGCTAACTTATTAAAGAAGTATGAGTCTAGTCCCAGTGAAGTTGTAGTCGCTGCCTCTGTAATACCTAGTACTATAATGGAGGAAGATGATTTGATTGATTTACCTGAGGTGAGAGGAAGAGAGTCTCACAAAGATGTCATTATAAATCCAGGGTTGTTACTTGAGAGGAAGGATATTCTACGAGAGTTATGTGAGGAGTTTTCTGATATGTTAATAAATAAGCCAGGGTGTACAGATGTGGTAAAACAAAATAAAATTAATAATAGAAGGCCCAATAAGAGAGAAGATGTATTCATTGCCTTTTTCAGCTGAAGATGTAGTAAAGAGAGAGGTAAAAGCAATGCTGGAGGAAGGGATTATAGAGCATTCAAACTCAGAGTATTGCTCACCTGTAGTTCTGGTTGGTAAGCCTGATGGTTCATACAGGTTTTGTGTTAATTATAAGAAACTCAACAAGATTACCAAGTTCGATTGTGAGCCAATGAACCGACCAGAAGACATTTTGACTAAGCTTCAAGGGAAACGTCATTTTTCTAAGATAAACCTGAGTAGAGGATTTTGGCAGGTGGAGATGGAGAACGACTCGAAGCCTTTAACATCTTTTGTCACAAATGGAGGATGTTACCATTTTAACAGAATGCCATTTGAGCCTGTTAACTAACCAGCCAGCTTTAATAGACTCATGGGGAAACTTTTATATGGGGAAAGGGATGTTGATAACTACATGGATGATGTACTAGCATATGCAGTAACATGGAACGATCATCTTGAAATGTTACGTGTCATTTTTACACACATAAGAGAGGCAGGCTTAACTATCAGACCATCTAAATGTTTGTTGGGATTTGAGACCATAGATTTTTTAGGTTATACTATACGCCCAGGTATAATCACTCCTCAGGATAACACAGTGGAGAAAATCATTAAGGCTTCTCCTCAAACCACTAAAAAACAATTAAGATCTTTTCTAGGTTTAGTAGGATTTTATCAAAGATTCATCCCTAACTTTTCACAGGTAACTGATCTGCTGAAGAAGGGTAGTCCGAATACACTGCGGTGGGGTCCAGTTCAAGAGAGAGCCTTCGGTGAACTTAACCATTGTATTACCTCTTCCCAAATCCTAAGGGCCCTTGACTTCATCAGAGATTTTGAGGTGCAAACAGATGCCTCAGACAGAGCCATAGGAGCCGCTTTACTGTAGCAATTTGAAGATGAATATTTCCTATTGCATATGCAAGCAGAAAGTTACAGCCTCGTAAGATGAATTATTCTGTAATTGAAAAGGAGTGCCTAGCTATTGTTTTTTGCTATTCAAAAGTTTGATAGGTATTGTATGGTAAGAAGTTTATCCTATGTACAGATCACTCGACCTTGCAGTATTTACAGAGGAAGAAGCCAGAGAATGTTAGATTGCTCAGATGGGCTTTGTTCTTAAAAAATTATACTTTCACATTTAAGGCCATTTTAGGTAAAGAAAATGTATTGTCAGGTTTTTAAGCCGCATGTGATTGATGAGTAACTTCACTGTGAGTGAATCCTTGGTGTGGGGGTGTGTCATATGTCTGCCCGCACCACTGTCTATGATTGGCTAATTAGGTGATGCCCGAGAACGACCAATGTCAATGAGGGTGATTCACGGCCTGTTTTGATTTAGGATTAGTTGGCAACCGAGCCATATTTGTGTGGTGGTGGTGGTGATGGTCACGGCAGAGCAGCGTCAGCCACGGACTGAACCGGACAGCACGGAGAACCAGGAACTCCAGGCCTGGTATACACACGCCGACATGGTTTACAAGATATCCGCAGAGTTGTGCGTGAAGTAATTGGAGATATTTGGAAATGAAAACTTGCTCTGTGAATGTAAATAGTGTAATATGGGTAATTTTTACACGACGAGTTTCCATAAACCCTTCCTCTCGGTCTGAAAGTCCCGTGACAACTGACAAGGAGTATAGGCGGAATCTGGGCGAGTCTTGTGACGCTTGTGTGTGGCTTGTTGTCACGCTATCAACTAGCCTGTATCCTGGTACAAAATGGCAAGTCAATTGAACACTAGTGCGGAGAGTTCAAGGCAAGGTCACTTTAATGTGTCGTGACATGAAAGTGATTATTATTGCTCAAATGGTAATGTGTCTGGAAAATGTAATTACTTATAATATTAGTGTAAAAAGCTTACATTTATATAATGCTTACTCTCAATATATATGACAAAGGGTAATACAAACATCACAAATGTTTTTTCGGCTAAGAAGGCCAGAGGAAGACAGAAAAATCGATGAATAAATTTAAAAGTTGGGTCCCAAAAGAGATGCAAAATCTATGAGGATTGCCAAAAAAAGGCCAAAGATGTTAGAGTGGAGGACTGTGGTCGCCAACCCTCAGATATGAAGCTGTCACTTTGACTGACTGATTGACTGACTGGCCGACTGGAGGCTACCTTGAGAGAGAGTACGCAGAGTAAAGGTCAATATAAATAATCATCCGTATTCATAATAGTTTTTATTTGTACAATCAAAGACAAAAATCGTGTCGCAGTTTTGTCCGAAGATTGAATATAACTCGTGAAACATTGTGAGAGCCCTACCACAAGGCAGAGGTTTAGCCCGTCGGCATATGTTTTCACCAAATTTCACGACACGACTTTTGTCTTTCATACCTCCTCTTGATTGAATAAGTGACAACGTACTTAACTGGCTACGAAAATTACACAATTCCAAAAATTACGAAAAGCGTTTATCTAGTCCTACTTCCAGGAAAACATTTAACATATAAACATTGCGAATCTAGATAAAAACAGTACAGTAAAGCATTCATAAAATAAACTAAATGTATATTCGGTATATTTCATGGTTCTAAGATTGGTGAAAACGATGGGTCAGGAGCTCAAGACCTAATCCAAACAGACTGACAACGTGTCCAGCAGCAAGGATCACAAACATTCCCTGAAAGAAGATAACTGTATCAGTGACAGACACACTTGTCATGAAAGCGTTCTCAATGACATTTGTACGTAAACAGATGCGCTCTGTTGCTTGCGATTAAGATACAGTAATAACCAAAGACATACTGTACCAAGCAACGGAGTTCTCACCCAGACATTTGTAAGAGCAAGAGATGTCTTGACTGTGATCTTGGAAGGAGCTCGGTAACACGCTGTGGAGTTTGGTTCGGCAGTTCTAAGCCACTCATAGAACAGCCCAGCCTCTGTCATCGACATTATTCTGATGGACAGAAAATATGAATATTTTTATGACAGGATGATTTAATTTATTACTAGACTTATTTCCAAAACATAAAATAACTGATTTAAAGTATAAATCGGAATATGAAATCTAAATAATACTTGTGACAGTAAAATTAATATTACTAGTACTAATAGCACTGTTGTTATTAATAACAATAAAAGTTATATTATTGATAATAACATTACTGATATTTTTGCTTTTAATGTTTAGAATAGTGTTAATAATAATTTTGATAGTAAAGATAATAACTATTTGATATTATTGCAGTTTCGCTCCCAATTGTGTTAGAAAATTTTTGGGTTTACCAGAAGTTATATCTCGTCAATTGCAACAACGTTTTTAAATACCTTCTTTGTCGCATATGGATAATTATCGAGATGGTAAATTCGTGTACGAAATTCATTAAATCTTCAGTCATCGCGTTTCGTTTGTTCGTTCGAGTAGTAGAAGCTTCAAAAAAGTTGCTGGTAGCGAAAGGAAGAGCGGGGAAGAGGACAGAGGAAGAAGCAGGAGGTTTAGGAAGGGAATTGTAGTGGGAGAGATAGAGCCGTGGCTTTTCACGACTGCGTTTATTTGGTTAGCGCAGAGCGCACGTATTGGGTTTTGTCTGTATTGGGTGTGTGATCCTCGGGTCACCACTCCTCCGGATTGTGTCAGTTCGAGTAGTAGAAGCTCCAACAACTTTCCCTGAATACGAATTTGCAAATTTTCGATTTACAACAGGCACCTACTTACTGCTAGGGGGCGTGGGACCAAGGGGGCCAGGAAGAGTTTATTTACAACTGACCCGCTTGGTCTCAGCGTACTTTCACGTCCACAAAAAAAACGTAAAATTGCACCATTATGCTTCAATAAAGTTGCTTTCAATAGAATCAGATAATTATCAAGATAAATACTTTCTGTTTAATATGGTGCCCCAAGTAGGAAGTTATGTAACGTTAGGTAAGTTTCTTTGGTTGGTGAGTTCAGGTTCTATTGTGGGCGGGGTGAAAACTCAAAAACGAATAATTTACGACGGAAATAAAGGTCAAATTCGAATGAATCATACCAAATACCATGGAAAAAACCTAGATCCCTAGACAGAAGCCAATTGGTAGTGAAATTGCAATTTAACTAACACTATTAATAGTAACAGTGATTCTGATATTTCCTCGTTATAATATTAACAAAATAATGGTTGCCCCTCGTGTATGAGAATAGCTGGCCAAAGGGCCACGTAGGAGTGAATTTGTTTAAGGTGTAGAAGCTGTTGCCGACACACCAACCACACCCTAAGTTAACGAGTTGCAGGACCCAGTGTCAAGGAATAGACCGAGAAGGCCGGACAACTCGCCAATTGCACTGGCTAATAGGGTGTGTCATAGGAGGGAAGATCAGCTAAAACTAATGGCCCATCACTTTTTTGGTAGATTTTAGTGTATATAAACAGAAAATAATTTCAGTTTCAATATTTTGCAACCTTTTGCTAGGTACATTTTAGCGTGAAATTTATCGAAAATCTAACGTACAGCTGCATTAGTGCATTACAATTAAATAGTGAACATTGCTTTCTGACTTCATTCTTTAACAACCCAACTATCAATATTTTTTTCTGTTTCAGATTCTGATGCATTTATAAGTTGATAATATTTGCGATGGCTGCTTGTGTCAGGACGAGGAACCAAAAATCCAGCCATCTCAGTCACTATCTTGGGTCTGGGAGAGAGCTCCTGAAGTCGGAGTTGCCTACATTGAGAGATGCTTTGAGATACGGTGTTTTAATCAGGCAAATCAGTGAAAAGAACCAAAGAACTTACACAAACAAAGACATTGCCAGTGATATGACCAAAGCTGTCTTGGCACAGTACACTCTGGCTAACGCTCAGTTCAAGCCTCCAGTCATAACAAGTGAGAAGAAGATTAGTGAGAGACTGCTAGCCAGTTGGGAAAAGGCAAGAGATATCTCTCTTGGGAGAAGAAAACTTGCAGTTAAGGACAGCTTTGCCAAGCAACTGGACCAGTTATTTGACATAATTACTTGCAAGTGCCCAATTGTTCTCTGTCCTGAGTTTGGATGCGATCGTGACTTTAAATCGAGGCCCACATCTCCTGTATTTGCAAGCGTGAACTGAAGATTCCTGTGATCGAACTGGCATTTATCAAAGCACAGAGAGAGACGACTGGCAGTATAGGGGCTCTCATGATTTCTAGCCAAGATATTCCGGAGTCCAAGAGACAGGAGGCTGCCACAGAGAGACAAAAGAGGAGAAGAGTTGCCGAGGAAAAGAGACTTGAGAAGGCCCAGGGTGAGGTAAAAAAGGCCGATGATTGGAGTCAAGCTGATTCAGAGTTTAATGACTTCCCCATGGCTGATCCGAGTGCTGACCAGGAGAATGGTGACTTTGTCCCTAACCCAGAAATAATGATCCCAAAC